ACCAAATCTCTGCTGTACTATAGTTAGTCGAGCACTAACTTCAGCACTCAGCTGTCAGTTTCTGTCTGGCTAATTGTACCTGTTCCAATTGAGCTCTGATCCAGACATGGCAGCTTTTTTGCACCGCTATGTTCTCATCCCTCTTGGAAGACTGCCTAACTGGAATCTCACCATGCTGCTTATGAAAAGCATAAATGATAGTGAGATGATCTAAGATCAGTTGGCAAACAATTGTGCCACATGTCTTGCTATAGCCCATGTTGCTCAAATTCTCTAGATTCGGCCCATTACTTTGGATGGGTAAGAACACCTCAGAATAATGGAAGCAAAAAGACCTGAAAATAAAACCAAATGCAGGAAATCTTAACAGCTCATCCCATCTGTGGAGAGATGAGACTGCGGTTTAACTCATTGAGTTACCTGTACACCTGTCGCTGGCATGTCAATTCAACCAGGGACTATGTCAAAAGTCTGACAGCAAGTCTTTGGACAGTGATTTTGAACAAATAACTTGTGGGTGTGGGATAATCATTACACAGGACACCGGAGGAGAAATTCCCTGCTATAATACTGAGGCCCTTTAATCTTCTACCTGAGAAACAGAACCTGACTACTTGTATGTGGCGTTCCTGACAATGCGTAAACAAATTACAATGACAATGCAGACTGATAGTGCATAATACAGGCTGAAGGCAGCATGCACAAATGCTTGTTAAAATACATACCCACTATCAAATGCTGAAATATATGAAACCAAACATTTTGCATGGATTAACAGTCTGTATTTTGACTGAGCAGGCAGTGGCTTCTGCTAAATACAATGATCATTGGAGCAGTGATTACCACCCTTTTTTTAACCTTTCTAAAGGTGCCGTTCAGTTCCTTCCGTCACTTTAGCTGGTAGTGCTAACAACCTTAGGCAACCATGCTCTTGTGAATGTGTTTTTGTTTTGTTTTTGTGAAACTCCTACCATTGCCTAGCCAATGGCCCAGTAACCCAAGCCTTGGGAATGCGTCCATTGCTGGGACTCCTCTAATGAGGATAGTCACAAACTTAGGTTTTGAAAGTCTTCAGGTCTGAAATGGTGTATCTGTAAAGTGGTTTTTTACTAATGTAGAGGCGTTGTTGGCCAACTGCTGTCAAAAACTGAAGCAGTTTAAAAATATTACTTTGCCTCCAGTTTTTAAGTTCCTCTGTTTTAAAGGAGCAAAAAAAAACTTTGCACAATTGAATATGTGGAGCAAAGCAAACAAATGAGACTGTAGGAAATTTTATCCTTTTTCTGGAGGCCACAGTAGGATCTCCAACAAAAAGTTGTCATAGAGCCAAGCTTCCTTCAGTTTAAAGGTTTTTTAAACTGCTCTGCTGCTTTGCCAAATTTAGCAATGCATCTCTAGAGGGTATCTGTGCTGTCACTACTCTTTCCCCCAATGAGAAAAGAGTAACAAACTTGTGCATGTATGTCCTTTGTGAGGATTTCCCAAACCTTTGGACTTGAGGGTCTGTTCTAATATGAAAGCAGCAACCAATTTGTAGGTAGATACATGTCTTCAACAGGTGGGAATAATACGGCCAGAAAGTGTTTTTTGTTTTTTTTTTGTTGTTAGTCAGTCGGTCGGTTGTCACTGGCAAGATCAGCATTTAATCGCTGCCCCCACTGCCCTTCCTCTTCACCCCACCCAAACCAAAGTAAAGTTTGTTTGTTTTTTCTTTTGAGGCTGTTCTCAGAACTTCCAGTATTAACACCACTGAGGAGCCAGTGATAATTCCAAGCCAGCAAAATGTGGTTTCAGATGAAATGTACAAGTCGCATCCCAATTCCTCTCTGTTGCCCTTTATCCTTCTGGATAATAGAGCTTAGATTCAGAATGTACTGTTGATGCTGTGATCACTAGTTCTGGTGCTTGTTGGTACTGCTGTTGTGCTAGTGAAGAGTTTCTAATTATCAAGTGGTAGATAACATGCTGATTGGCAGGATTTAAGGAACCTGCTTGAATTGCTGGAGCTACTGTCATACAGGTAAGTGGGAGAGATGGTGTATTTGAGGCTGACGTTTCGGGCCTAGACCCTTCATCAGAAAAGGGGGAGGGGAAGGGGGTTTTGAAATAAATAGGGAGAGTGGGAGGCAGATAGAAGAGGGATAGAGGAGAGGATAGGTGGAGAGGAAACAAACAGGTCGAAGAGGCGGGGATGGGGCCAGGAAAGGTGAGTGTAGGTAGGGAGTTAGGAAGGGGATAGGTCAGTCCAGGGAGGACGGACAGGTCAAGGGGGTGGGATGAGGTTGGTCGGTAGGAGATGGAGGTGCGGCTTGGGGTGGGAGGAGGGGATAGGTGGGAGGAAGAACAGGTTAGGGAGGCAGGGACGAGTTGGACTGGTTTTGGGATGCGGTGGGGGGAGGGGAGATTTTGAAACTTGTGAAATCCACATTGATACCATTGGGCTGCAGGGTTCCCAAGCGGAATATGAGTTGCTGTTCCTGCAACCTTCGGGTGGCATCGTTGTGGCACTGCAGGAGGCCCAGGATGGACATGTCGTCTGAGGAATGGGAGGGGGAGTTGAAATGGTTCGCGACTGGGAGGTGCAGTTGTTTGTTGCGAACCGAGCGTAAGTGTTCTGCAAAGCGGTCCCCGAGTCTCCGCTTGGTTTCCCCGATGTAGAGGAAGCCACACCGGGTACAGCGGATGCAGTATACCACATTGGCAGATGTGCAGGTGAACATCTGCTTGATGTGGAAAGTCTTCTTGGGGCCTGGGATGGGGGTGAGGGAGGAGGTATGGGGGCAGGTGTAGCACTTCCTGGGGGTGAGGGAGGAGGTATGGGGGCAGGTGTAGCACTTCCTGCGGTTGCAGGGAAAAGTGCCGGGTGTGGTGGAGCTGGAGGGGAGTGTGGAGCGGACAAGGGAGTCACGGAGAGAGTTGTCCCTCCGGAAAGCAGATAA